CGGCGGCGGCCGCCGCCGCCATGATGTCGGCCGCCGGCCCGCTGTCGGCGGCGTCGTTGGTGGCGTCCTCCCTGCCGGGGCTCATCTCGTCCGCGGGGCCCGGCGTCAAGTCGCCGTCCGCGCTGGGCGGCAGCGGAGGAGGGAGCAGCGAGTTCGGCTCCGAGGACGACGACGACGACGAGGAAAACTCGCTCAGCGCCCTCAACCTGAGCCGAGACAGCCTCCTGCACCACCACGGCAAGCCCGGCCGGCCGCCCCGCCACCCGCACCTGCGAAAGCCCGTCACGCCCATGAAGCGAGGCTGGGGGGCCGGGGACCTGCCCATCAACCTGGGCACTCAACTCATCAACCCCACCACTGGCAAGAAGCGCGTGCAATGCAACGTGTGCCTCAAGACGTTTTGCGACAAGGGAGCTCTCAAGATCCATTTCTCCGCCGTGCACCTACGCGAGATGCACAAGTGCACCGTGGAAGGTTGCAACATGATGTTCAGCTCGCGACGCTCGCGCAACCGCCACAGCGCCAACCCGAACCCGAAGCTGCACTCGCCGCACCTGCGCCGCAAGATCTCTCCACACGACGGCCGCACGGCGCAGTCGCACCCGCTGCTCATCCCGCCCCCCGGCAGCCTGTCGCTCTCCGCCGCGCTCAACCCGCTCTCCTTCAGTCCCTTCCCGCTGCTCACGCCCCCTCCCGAGCTTCGGCAGCAGGCGCCGGGGCCCCACCCACTGCCCCCGGGCCTCGAAGCCGCGAAGCATTCGCTCGACCTGAGCATGCACCGCTACGAAGAGCTGCGACGCGCGGCGGTGGACGGCGCCAACTCCAACACCACCACGTCGTCGGACGACACGGCCATCGCACTTCACCTCAACAACCACCACCTGGACGACAACGACGACGACGCTTACGACGACGACGAAGAGGGCATCGTCGTGGACGGAGGGGCGGACGATGACGACGACGATCCGTCCGACCAGGCCATGGCGCACGACCTCACCGACAAGGACGACGAGGGCGTCGCCGCCGTCAAGCGCGTCAAGCTCTCCGAGTCCGACATGGACGAGGAGATGACGAGCAACATGGACAGCAACGAGGACTCGCTGAGCGTCGTGGACGCGCACAGCCTCAAGGAGGAGAACGGCGTCGAGTCGGCGGCCTTCCCCTCCAACAAGCGCAAGCGCAAAAATCAGAACCCCACGCGGTGCGCGGTGCCGGCCATGATGGAGCGCAACGACATGTCTGACGACGACTCGTCCAACGACGTCGTGTTCGCGGCCCCCGCGGTGGAGGAAACCACCCAAGACATTCCCTCAAATTCTACCGATCCAAAAAACGAGTTAGGTGAGGTGGCAGGGGCCACCATAAAACAAGAGGCGCAGGAGGAGCCCGAGGAGGCGCCGGAGGAGCCGAAAGGGGAGGTGAAGATGGAGGTGGAGACGGAAGAAGAGAAGGACGGCTCCTCGCCTGCGGAGAAGGCACGCGTGGACGAGCCGGAACAGGCGCCGGAAGACAGCGACGTCCGC